ACTGACTCCTAACTCACTGACTCAGCTCCACTGCACTGCACTCACTGCACTGACTCCTAACTTACTGACTCAGCTCCACTGCACTGCACTCACGGCACTGACTCCTAACTCACTGACTCAGCTCCACTGCACTGTACTCACTGCACTGACTCCTAGCTCACTGACTCAATTCCACTGCACTGCACTCACTGCACTGACTCCTAACTCACTGACTCAGCTCCACTGCACTGCACTCACTGCACTGACTCCTAACTCACTGACTCAATTCCACTGATTGACCGAACTCAACTGACTGACTGAACTCAGAGACCTGCATGACTCTGTCTCCTGAGTGCTAAGATTAAAGGCTACCAATACCAAGCCTGGCCCTACGCTTTTCTTTACCAACAACCTGCTCTGTGCCAGGCTGGCCTTTAACTCAGAGATCCTCTGTCTCCTGGGATTACGGATGTGTCTGTATTCCAGCCAGATCACAGAGACCTAGAAGGTCTTTGGATGTGATGGTCACTTGCCAGGGCAGCCTTGTTGCTGGATTAAAATTCCTCTACAAAGAAAATTGCAGCAGCCTTTTCCATGTCTGACACAGCTCCAGCTCCTTCATCAGATCACAGCCCACAGTGCACTGCCCAACGAGGGTACTCACTCACTCACTGAAACTCATGTTTTCCTTATAACAAGCTATGCTTTCCACTATGACACTGTTCTCAGTTGCAACTGGCAATTTGCTTTCTTTTCAGGGATGGATGCCCTCTTCCTCCACTGGGGCAGGGTCTCTACCTAAGCAGCACTTCTACCTGGGCAGGATCTCACCAGGGTAGCACTCCTACCTGGGCAGGGACTCACCTGGACAGCATCACCACCTAGACAGGGCTCCACCTGGGGAGGGTACCACCCACCCCACCACTGGGTCCATCTTGGTGGTGAGCACACAAGGACTAGCTAACCAGGCTTAGGAGACGCTGGGAGAATCTAGCAGTCAGTTCTCTTTCTGCCTTCTGTCCTGAAGATTTAACTCTACATTTTATACTGTAATTCCTCTTAAATTAAAAGAGAGAGAGAGAGAGAGAGAGAGAGAGAGAGAGAGAGAGAGAGAGAGAGAGAGATTTCTTAAATTTGGAGGTTGTTTTGTTTGAGACAAGATTTCTCTGTACAGCCCTGACTGTTCTGGAACTCTCTTTGTAGACCAGGATGCCCTCAACTAGAAAACATCAGTAATCTGAGTGCCTGTCCCCTGAATGCTGAAATTAAAGGCATGTGTCACCAAGCCTGGCTTTTATATTTTTTAAGTACTGTAATTTACTTATTTGGGAGTGAGGTGCACATGTCCCATGGTATGCAGATGAGGCTGAAGGACACCTTGTAGAATCTCTTCTCTCCTTCTACCCTATGAATCCTAGGGATGAAACTCCTGGCATTAGGCTTGATGGCCAACACCTGCACCCACTTAGCCATTCTTTCTTACAATATAGAAAACCACCAATGGAGAGCTCTCGGCTCAGTGAATACTCAGTTAAACTAACCCTCTGTTCCACTCTTTGAAGGAATCCTTGGAAGCCTGTCAAAATCTGGTCCCTCTGTCCAAAGTGGTGCACAATATTCTCACCAGGCTGGAGCAGACTTTCCACCCATCAATGCTGCTGACATTGTTCAGCCAGGTCAACCTACGGGAATACCCCAGCCTGGTGGCAATTTTCAGGAGCTTCAGAGATGGTAATGTGGTTTCTCCAGTCCTTGTTACATGTGTAGTATGTTACAGTAAAACTCTGGGTGTGTTCCCAGTGTGGACTATGCATTCCAATGCTTGCTTTTCCTGTGTAAAGGTGAGGACCACCTTCACTCACAAAAGCTGCTGGAGGGGTAGACCTGACTGACTCCGACCTCAGTTTCCCCAAGGTGAATTTCTATAGGACACAGGTGGTTTTGATGCAGCTATTCAATGAATTTTAGTGCAAGTATAACTGTTTGTGTGTGACAGAGTCTCGTGATGTAGCCCAGGATGGCCTGAAATGTAGTCATTCTGCCTCAGCCATTTCCAAGTGCTGGTGTTACAGAAGTGGGCCATCACATACACCCATCTTGAAAACATAAAGGACTGGGCCATCTCCAGGGAACACACAAGGCAACAGAAATGTCAGGACCTGATATGAAGGAAAGATAGGGAGAGAGAGGGAGGGGGAATGGATTCAACGTCTATCTCTTTGTGACAGTGTGGGTGTCCCCACACATTTTATATGATCATTTCACATTGACCTTAAAACCACCTGTGACATCATTGTTAGCTACTCGTGACAGAGAAGTTCAGAGGTAACTCCCCAGTCACTTGTTTTCGACGAAGAACTGTGTTAGTCAGATTTCTATCTCTGTCACGAAATGCCTATGATAATTAACTTACATGAGAAAAAGTTAGGGGTCTCTGACCTGTCATATAGTTTGAGCTTGTAGCAAGACAGTGAGTGTATCGCCGCAGGAATGTGTGACCAAGTAAAATTGTTCACTGTGTGTTCTGAAAATGGAGAACGGGGAGACTTGGACCCTGCCCTTCCCCCTGGCAATGCCCCCCCAGTGACCTTTCACCTCCTCTGGTCCGCAGCTCTTCAAGTCATCCACATCTCCCTGTAGTGTGTCACTCTGGGGACCTAAGTTTTGAGGGAACATTCAGCGTCTAGACTACAGAACTGGATAAATAAAGGAACACAAAGAGTGACAGCCATAGGATTTGGGGTTGGAGTGAGAGTAGGAGGACCAGGCAGTAAAGCCACTTGAGGTTGGAGAACACAGACCCAGGAGAGTCACTTTACCTGAGAATAGTGAAAGAAGAGACACCAGCCACACTGCACTGTGACATTGTCATTGGTGGGCTCACTACTGACGTGTCACCACCAAGAGGCTCCTCCCCAGGGGACAGAGGATTCCTTAGGCTAAGAGAGCAGCTGGGGGACACCTCCACCTCTAAGCCTTGCAGCAGGGCCAGGAGAACCCAGACTTCAAGGATACGCTAACTTCATCTGAGTACTGGCAGGGCTCAAGTGTCTCCCTGGCTGTACAGTTCTGTGGCTTTTTTTTTTTTCTGAGCCTTTGTTGGTGTCCATGACGGTTCCTGTTCGTGGGTCAAGGTATCTTTACCTCTGAAATAAATGACAAAGAACCATCTTAATAGAAACCAACCATACTGTATTCGAGGGAACAGTGTGTGGAAAGTCAAGAGCCTGGTTTTGGGATGAGGAGGAAGATCCTAGGGTAGTCAGATAGAGGTGGCCAGATCATAGGGTGCAATGGCACCTCAGAAGTGAGCAGAAACCAGAAGACCAAGGTCCCAATAGAACCTGGTAAAGAAGTTTTGTTTCATTTGGTCCAGGGAGATATGTTTATTTACTAAAATAATAATAAAATTAAGTGAATTACAAAGTAATAATAAAAAAATAGAAACCTTTATAAAAATTAAACCTTTTACACAGCTAAGTTCCATGAAACCAAAATTACAGAAAATTAAATCCCTGGGTTCAAAATATCCAATTTTATGTATTAAAACCCAGTTTTGATTAGCTATTTTCTATTCATTTATTTATTTATTTTTATAGTCATTTTTCAAACTATTTTCCATATATTGGCCAGATCCTCTTCCTCCCTCACCTTCTCTCAGATCCTCCTGCACTACCCACCCCAGTTCATAGTCTGTCTTTAAAATACCCAAATCTAACCAAACAAAACAAACAAGAAACACAAATACACACAAATAAAACAGAAAAAGAACCCAACCAAACAAGAAAGGTGGAGCCCATCCTGTGTTGGCCAACTATTCCTGCGCATGGGAGTATGACTGATATACCCAGCTTCACACCAGTGAAGAAATCAGACTTTCCCTTTCCTGTCAAATATTAATTGCAAGTAGCCTTGTTAGAAGTGGAACTTTATATATGGTGCCAGCAGAAAGTGTGTCCCAGATTAATGGTGGCTCCTTCTACCTCAAAAGATCTAGAGTTAGGGTGGGTCTTCTCACCTCCCTCACAGGTGTACCCAGCCACTTGAGGGGTTTTTTAATTCCAGATTCAAGTTGACAACCAAGAAGAGCCATCACCGTGAGTGTAGCAAATGATTCTCAGAAGTTTCATTACATTCATTTAGATTAACTATAGTAGGTTTTACCCTAGAGCCCACGACCTGTGTAGCTGTGTGTTGTTGGCCACATCAACAGTGTTGAGTGTGGGTCCCATTTTATAAACCAGTCCTCACATCCAATCAAAAGGTGATTGGTCACTCCCATAACACTTGTGCCGGCATTGCACTAGCGAGTACATGGAGTAAGCAGGGTATTGTAGCTCACAGCATTCCTAGCTGGGTGATACTGATGATAACGTCGCCTCTGGTAGTGTACATGAACCTTCCAACACTATGAATGCTAGTCAGTAGGGATGAAGCTTCTAATTGAACAACGGCTTGATTACTTCATGCCTGTTCCCCCTCAGCAATAGAGGTTTTACCAGCAGGTCATGGAAAGTTATCAATAACATTGGCCTGTAGTGTTAGGAGTAGGAGGAGCCTCTGAGATTCCTTTGGCCAATGACTTGAAAAGATGGACCATTTTACATTCCTGGTACTTGGTATCGTATGGTATCTTATCAGGGCATTGTCTCCTTCATTGTATGATAACTCCATTTAAATTCCATCTATATATGTATATATCTTAGGGACCTTCTACAGTAGTAGGTTTCTATGTGGTCAACCCATTTTTGGTGATGGATTGGGGACTAAAAAAGCACTGAGTGCCTGAATAAATAAAAGTCCGAAGGGGCCACAGATGGACATGTGTGGTGATGAGCTGTTCTCTGCTCCTGGGAAAATCAGTAACTCTGCCTCCAGTTCTATGGAGAAAATGCACTAGGCAATCCTCTCTGCCAGATAACTTCTGAATCTCCAGGATCCTGATACATGCTCCTTTGCTAATTCCAGTTGGCTATGCCTATGAAGGGAGAAACAGACCCACACCGACCCTACTTGAAGCCCCAGCCAACCCAGCAGAAGGGTGCTCCCTTCAGACTCTGCCGCTGCCCCCACCCCAGCCATCACCAAGTCCTCTGTCTTCTGCACGGACAGTCTATAACCCCGGAGCAACCTCACAGCCAATCACTGAGATCCTGGATGAGCAGCCCAGCCCTTCTCCCCCAGCTGTGCCTCTTCCTGGCTGCATTCAGGAAGGAAAAACCACTTCAGGTAAGAAACAGACCTACAACCTGTAACCCTACCTAGGAGGTTTGCTCCCTGTCAATTAGAACCACAAATTCCTGTCTTTTGTTGATCTGTTCCTTTCTATGCACCCTCCGACATACAACTCTCTAAGAAAATCACAAGCTTTGCCAGTGGCCTGGGAGGCCCAGGTCCCAGAACTACTTCTTCCGACATCTGGACACTCAGTTCCTTATGTTGTGATGACCCTCGGCCATAAAATTATTTTCGTTGCTGCTTCATAAATGTAATTTCTCTGCTGTTATGTATCGTAATGTAAGTATTTTTGGAGATAGAGGTTTGCTAAAGGAGTTGAGACCCACAGGTTGAGAACCATTGCTTTAGGCCACTCACTCTCTTCCCTGTACCCTGTGGGTTTTTTCCCTCCTCCTTCAGCTGCCAGTAACAATTCAACAGCTACAACTGATAAGTCAGAAAGAAGACTTGCAAAGGATGCCCAGCCCTTCCACTGACACTGTGCAAAGTAACACTGCCAGGGCTGTGGAGGGAGACTATGCACATGCCAGAGAAGAGTCTGTGGTTGGAACCTTTGAAGAAAGAAGAGAAGCAGAGAGGGCTATCCTTAGACTCACAGCACAAACCAATAGTCAGAAATGCTGGTGTGGGTCTGGAGTGTAGCTCAGTGGAAGATCATTTCCCTAGTAAATGCAAGGCTCCTCTCTCTGTCTCTGTCTCTGTCTCTCTGTCTCTCTGTCTCTGTGTGTGTCTCTCTCTATTTCTCTCTGTCTCTGTCTCTCTGTGTGTGTCCCTCTCCTGTCTCCTGTTTCTCTCTGTGTGTCTCTCTCTGTCTCTCTGTGTGTATGTGTGTCTCTCTCTTTCTCTCTCTCTCTCCCCCCGCCCTGTTCTGAGTTGACACATAGCTTGTTACACACTTACAGTGATGATTCTTCCCTGGCTACAGAATACAGAAGCCTTTGAGTCTCCGCCTTATTCATTCCTTTCTGTTCCATTGTTCTTTGTCAAGAGTAGAACCCAGAGCTATTGCATGCTGAATAAGCAGGCACCACTGAACTACACCCCAGGCCCCTTTGTCTATTTTTAGATGGCTCAGATTCTAAGACGTACATATGTTATTAACATTATTAGAAAATATCAAAAAACTTTATGTCTATTGGATGTAATTGAGCTTCTAGACTTATGCCACTTGCCTTCTCTAAACCACCATTATAAAAATAAAGCTTACTTACATTAACTATAGTGGGATGTATTACTGATATAGCTGAAGATACATATTCTGGACTCATTGCTCTCCAGGGCTGAGAATAAAGGAGTCTGAACTCAGTAACTTTTCCTCTACTTCTCTGATACTTGTCATTCAAATAAATTTAACATAATTGGAAAGCTAATGCCAATAGAAGATTTCATTATCTACATTTTCAAAAGAGAAGGAGGTGTTGGAGGAGGAGGAAGAAGAGGAAGAAGAAGAGAAGAAGGAGAAGAGGAAGAATAAATAATCATCCTGCTATTCTATTCAGTCCCTTCTCTATCCTCCCATACACTGGTCACCTGCCTTCCTTACTGGTTAGAATCAGTCCTCTTTACCACTCTGGCCCCTACTTGCTCATCCTGAAAGCCTCAATTCTTTTTCTTCCCTCTGCTCAGTGTCCTCCAGAGATCACCAGAGAAAAACTAAGGAAGACTCTCGAGAGATGCCCCACAGTCCCTCAGGACCTGAGTCAGGTAATCTGCCTTTGGCCTTAGTGTCCTCCTTTTCTGGGCATGTACACCACCCACTCTCCTCCCTGACAGCCAGTCTGGTAACCCAACCTTTTCCTTCCTCCTCCAGCTGTCAAAGACAACTTAACATCCAAGACTAACAAGCAAGATGACTCAGGAGCACAGCCTCCGGGTTCCCCTGCCACCAAGCATGGTAACGCTGGTTAAGGCTGACTTAACTCTTAGCAGTCTTGCTTGGGATAGCCTAAGCTCACCACCTACCAAAAAGGAAAGCGTTTGAGTCCTCTTGGTATGAGACTGTCTGTTGTTTCTACTCTTGTCTCCTCCTCAGCCCAGCTTCCGCCCCCACCCAAGCTTGGAAGGTAGAGTTGTGGGGAGGACAAGGAGGCAGGGCTAGAAAGGTAGACTTCTGGATCCACCAATCACAAAGTCACCAAGTCCCCTCACACCGGCTAGACTTAGACTCTAAATGATTACATTGTCAACAAACAGAGACAATTCCTTGGCCACAAGAGACTGTAGTGGGCTCCAGGAGAGCAGAGGACAAGGCAGGGCTGGACTGTGTGACCTTGAAGCTGTGATGAAGTCACAGTAATGGGGATGCTCAAACAGCCCCAACAAAATACAAGACAGGCGAACAGAAACCTCGTTTGTCCCCAGTGGTGGGTAATGCAGCTGATGTGGCGGCTCTCCTTCCTGGACTTCACCTGACTGTAGGAACTGTCCTTCAGTGCTAGTCAATTCTACATCATACAGAGTACATGATATTAAAATGAAAGGACAAGAAAGAAACGACTTCAAAAGTCTGTAGACAGTTTATAGTGTGGCTCAGTTACCCAACCCAAAAGAAGCCAGATTTTAAGACAATTTTCATAACATTGTATAAACAACACAGTCTTAAGGAGATGGACCTTTTTATCTGTTATGGTTTCAAGCCCCTCTGTTTTTCTTATTTCATCAAGGCAAGCAGAATTTCATAATGTATTTGCTGTTAGCAGATGCGTAGGTAACAATGATAAGGTGGTCAGGGCTGGAGAGGTGGCTCAGTGCCTAAGAGCACTGGCTGCTCTTCCAGAGGACCTGAGTTCAGTTCCTACCACCTATAATGGTAGCTCACAACCATCTGTAATTCCAACCCCAAGGTATCTGCCACCCTTTTCTGGCCTTTGCAGGAGCCAGGCATACATGTGGTACTTGGACACACATATAGGTACAATACCCATAGACATAAAACTTTAACAATGATAACACAGGAGTCAGATCAAGGTGGAACCCTATGGACTGGCAGATTCCCTATTTGCTATTTGATTTATCCAGCTGACTTTCTTCTGCATTTTCTCTTCAGTCCATTCTGACCGCTGATGTGAATTCTGTTTCTTTTGCTAGTGGTACAAGATGATTCTCCAGCACCAATTAACCTGGAAATGCCCCAGAAAGCACCCTGCACACCTGCAAACAAGAAAGGTACAGATATCCTTTCCCATGTGATGTGATGCTTCCTGTTCTTCTAGCTGTAGCACATCCAAGCATCCATGATGCAACCATTGTTTCTGCAATTACACAGCGTTTCCTCAATTTCTTCTCACTCCGCCTTCCTCAAAGGCCTTGCAAAAATTATAAGTAACCAGAAGGCACTTAGACATATTGAACCAAGCATTGCTCAAATTCACTGAACTCCTGTCCACAACTGCTTAGTGTGACTGGTCTGCTAGCCTTCCCCAGGAGAACACTGCTTCCTGGTAAGTCATGTGTAGGCAACGTCTGTCATCTGTCACTTAAACCTCATGGTGACAAGCAGGTTGGATGTCCACCTGGCTACCTACTCCCATCTCACCTTTGGCTCTCCCATCTTCTACTCTGAGGCGTCACTGTTCAATTAAAATGTGTTATTGACCTAGCAAAATGGTTCATTGGCTAGAGGTTTCTGCCACCAAGCCTGTTCACACAAGTTGTCTCTTGACCTCTGCATGTGGACCATGGAACATGTGCCCAACCTCCACATACCAGTAAATGTGATCATGAGGATGAGGAGGATGATGATGGTGATGATGATGATAAAAACACTGTGACCTCTCTGATACTGTCATCCATTGGCTTCCCTGTTGCTTCCTAGAAGCTTTCCAAGTCTTATTTTCTCCCACCTCAGATCTTGCCATGGTCCCGGATGCCTTCATGACATCATGGATAGCAGGCAATCCATCCAATACTCCAGCTGCTCAAGTCTTTATCTCCTCACGTCTGGTTACCTTTTTCCCTTCACAAATTCTTGGTTTCTCATGCCCAAAAGCCATCCGTAGGCCCTGCCATTATCTGACCCTAGCTTAATTTCCCAAGAACTGATTCAAAGAATTCTCATTTTAACACTTGTCCTTGAAGTTTGCTTCTTCTAGTTTAACCTCTGATCTCTCCTTCTTTCCCAGCTGATCCTTTAAAAAGGTTAGGGTTGAGGTCAGAGAGATGACCCAGAGTTAAAATACACACAGATACACACACGTGTACACACACACAATCAGATGGATACACACATGCAAGTGCTCACACAATTAATGTTCAAAATATAATTTAATTCTTTAAATAAAAAAAAGATTGATAGCTCTATGTGACTATAAAAGACCTTGTTTTCTTTTCTTCTTAGCAAGAAAAAGAAAAAGTTGCATCTGGTCAAATTCCAAAAGAAGATGCCAGAAAAAAAAGCCCCCTCAGGATGAGGTGGCAGGTAAGGGGATGCTGGAGGAGGCTTCAGTTTGTTCTGAACTCACTGGGTAGGCAGGCACACAGGAATTCTGGTCAGCACAGTGAACTGGCTTTAAATGTCACCAGACCTGTTTTGCCACTGAGTAAATGGTGAACTGGACCATGTTAGAATCCTGTTCTGATGGCGGGTTACACAGTCCAAGGTGAAGGGTGGAGAATGTCAGGTTTCCTCTTTATATACACTAGGATGGCAACCGTCCTTCCGAACTAAAGGGAGAGTAAATAAACTTTGCTACTTTGAGATTAAGTGCAAAAGGACCTGGGTCCTAGCCTTGAGAGGCAGTTCATGGGCAAAACCCCAGAAACGCTCTGGAGAGGTTCTCATGCCAGTGGAGTGTGGCTGTCCTGGGGGAGGCAGCTTCCAAAGTCCCAACAGGAAAAAGTGGCATGTCCTCCCCCTCCTCGGTGAAGGCCACTAATCCAACAGTCCTGTCTACTGCAGAGCTTCTGGGCCTTGGCCACCTCGCCAGTGACATGCCCAGAAGCTGCATTCATGGCAGGCATAGGGCTGTCCCTTCTGTGCTTTCCTACATTTCACCCACAAGAGGTGCCTGGTGGCCTTTGGCTGTTGCCTGTCTGCATGAGTACTACATGGAAGGCCTTTCCTCACTGACTGAAGAATCCTAGGCCTGTGCCTCATGGCTCATGAGTCTTAAAAACAGGAATCAGAAGCATGTTCCGCCCTCACCCCATCGCTCTGTATTTATTTATTTGGTTAATTCTTTGTTTGTTTGTTTTGCTTTTTTGTTTTGTTTTGTTTTTCAAGACAGGGTTTTTTTGTGTAGCCTTGGCTGTCCTGGAACTAGCTCTGTAGACCAAGCTGGCCTCAAGAAATCAAAACTCGTAGAAATCTGCCTGCCTCTGCCTCTGCCTCCCAAGTGCTAGGATTAAACATGTACACCAGTACTGCCCAGCTAGCTGGTTAGTTCTTCTTAGAGCTCCCTGGGCTGGGAGCATATGGAGATTTGGTGGGGGAGAAAGCATGGTACACATAAGAGAAAACAGTAAAAGTGAGGTACAGCAATCTGGAAGGGAGGGTGGGATGGGGAGCCTGGGAAGGAAGGAAAGGGTGTCCCGGAAAACTCCATTTAAACCACTCATGAGTCTGTCTCACCAGGAATGGCCTCACCTGGACGTGGAGTTCCAGAGAAGCTCAAGGTGGTGGGTCGGAGGACTCTGAGGAAGGAAGACTCAACTAGGAACGTGAAGGAGGTGACCAGGACTCTGAGGACAAGGAGGAGCAGGAGGAGCTGTGCCCAGACATCCGGTTTGCAAGGTGAGGCTGAGGGTGGCACCTCATTGGAATGGCTCAGCATGGCAGGGTCTCTTAGAGCTGGTGCAGGAGTGCAGGGGGATATATGACCTCAGTGTTAGCAGAGAGATGTTCAGAGAGATCAGGAGAGGGGCAAAGAAAGGCAATATCGACTGCAGCCAAGGAGTTTACGATAAGAAACAGCCACAGGTCAACCTCAGTTGAGACCTAAGGCAGAGGGTGTCAACCCTTTAGATTTTTACAGCCTTAAAGGTTACTAAGAACTTCCCAAGGTCTACGACTATGTTGTTTATGCCTACCTATTTCTCCGTTATTCATAATCAAAAACCATAATTTAAAAACTCTTTGTTTAAAGTGAAATAATTTGGTCACATAACCATGTAACAGAAAATTATTTCTGAAGCAAAAACAAAATTAGAAGACAGGTGTCAATGCACCTTCCTACAGTTCTCAGTGATGTCGGGCTTCATGAGAAGCAGGTGGATTCTTTTTTTTTTTTACAGTATAGTATTTTTTTTATTGGATGTTTTATTTATATTTCATATGTTGTCTCCTTACCCCATCCCCCATCCACCCAGGAACCCCCTATCCCCTCACCCCTCCTCCTTCTTCTCTGCGGATGTAACCCCTACCTACCCCCTCCCACCTCCCCACCCTCAAATTCCCACCCCCTGGGGCGTCCAGCCTTCATGAGACCAAGGATCTCTTCTCCCACCTATGCCCAGCAGGGCCCTCCACTCTTACATATACAGCTGAAGCCATGGATCCCTCCCTAAGTGCTCCCAGGCTGGTGGTTTAGACCCTGGGAGCTGTGGTTGGTTGGTATTGTTGCTCTCCTCATGGGGCCACAAACCCTTTCAGCTCCAATGGTATTCACTCTAACTCCTCCATTGGGAACCCCATGATCAGTTCAATGGCTAGTTGTGAGCATCTGCCTCTGAATATGTCAGACTCTTGCAGACCTCTGAGGAGACATCTATATCAGGCTCTTATCAGCATGCACTTCCTGACTTCCACATCAGCATCTACCTTTGGTGACTGCACATGGGATGGATACTCAGGTAGAATGGTCTTCAGAGGGCCCCTCCTTCAGTTTCTGTCCCTCACTTTGTCTCCATATTTGCTCCCTTGAGTATTTTGTTGCTCCTTCTAAGAAGGACTGAATCACCCCTACTTGGTCTTCCTTCTTCATGAGTTCCATGTGGCCTATGAGTTGAATCTTGGGCATTTCAAGGTTCTGGGCTAATATCCAATAATCAGTGAGTGAATACCATGTGTGTTCTTTTGTGATTGGCTTACCTCACTCAGGATGATAATTTCTAGTTCCATCCATTTACCTAGGAAACTCTCGAATTCATTGTTTTTAATAGCTGAGTAATACTCCATTGTGTAAATATACCACATTTTTTTGACTCCATTCCTCAGTTGAAGGACATCTGGGTTCTTTCCAGCTCCTGGCTATTATAAATAAGGCTGCTATGAACATAGTTGAGCATATGTCCTTGCTATTATAAATAAGGCTGCTATGAACATAGTTGAGCATATGTCCTTGTTATATGTTCGAGCATCTTCTGGGTATATGCCTAGGAGTGGTATAGCTGGATCCTC